ATTATTTCTTTATTATAACTATACTAAAATACATTAACATACTATATAAAAGGAGGATACTAAAACTACATACTACTTTCTCTGACTCTAACTCTCCCACAACTCGTGACCCTCTCTGAGAGCCCAGCCCCAGGTGGGCTGGATTGGCCATCAGGCTCAAACAATCCTCACCCGAATCCAATCAAGCACTCACCCCAGGTAAACAATTCTCTAAACACATTCCACATGGGAAAAACAAGGAGCAGAAATAGAAATTGTTTTCTCTTTCATTTCTCTCTGTGCACCTCTATGAAAAATCCTGAGAGGGAGAGAAATGTGCTTGCCACACTAAATATAATTCAGTCACCAGCAGAAGCAATTACCCTGGATTTCTACAGGGTTTTTGTCAGCTGGCTGATTTGTTGGTATCAAGTGGAAAGAGCACACTGGCTGAGGTTTTCACCATGGCTGCAGCACCTGGTACAGTCCTCTGCTAAAAGGGTTTCCAGCTGCCAGCTAAAGGCTGAACTCCTGTGGTGGCCTGATTTTGAGGCTCTCCCAGCTGATAAGAAATTTAAGTATCAGCTACAGTAAAGTGTTCCATGCACAGGTCCCTTCAAATCACATTTTCTTGCACTTTTGGGTCATACCTGCGTCACCACAGCATCAAAGAGCTTACAGGCTTCATTGCTGGTCGTGGACAGGGCAAGTCCAGCATCCTGCCAGGCCTGCACAACAAACAAACACAAACGTTGTCCTTTCCCATCCTCATCTTCTAGGCTACACAGACAAATGTTCACATTGATGCTGTTTCAGAATTTTCATCAGTTGTGCACTTTTAAACAGAAAAGCTGGAAGCACAGTGTGAGGCAGAAACAAACCTCTTGTTCAATTGCAGTTACCTTAAGACTCAATTAGTTGGAGCTAGTAATGAGACTAAAGAAGCCAACAAATACCAAGTGCACCAGAAGATCTCAGTGGCTTGCCCAGCTCATAATGACAGCACCATTCTGAATTCATTAGAGCTGTTGGCAAATTCCTCTGCTACAAGCACACCTTGTGTGAAGTAGACACATGGTAAAATAAAACCCTGTTCTCCTATAACCTATAAATCTGTCATCTTTTTCAAACAATAATGTTTTCTGAATCAACTTGCAGACCAAACAGCCTGGCAGAGCAAATCCACTAAGTCTCTGGAATTAACCAACTGAAAATTTGGATCACAGATTTATACACAAGCCTGAGAACACCAAGAACATGGGAAATGGATAAAGCTAAAAAAGCAAAACAAAATTGGGCTGCCATAGTTTCTATCAGCATAACATAACTGAGGCACATCTCCTGGCTGCCTGCTGGCAAATGAGCAGAGTTCATTTGAGAAGCTGCCCCTATCACTTCAGTATTACTTTAATGGAGTACACAGAATATGGAGGACAGACAACTATTATAAAAACAGACCTGGGGCAAGCTAATTCAGACTTCTCCTAATGAGGGCTTAGTCCTTCCTGATGCTCTTCTCATCTTACATTTGAAAGCATTTCCTAGCTACAATAATCTATCAATTTTTTTTTTAAGTAACCAAGCAAAGACAACTTTAATATATCCTAAATCTTTCCCACTGTGAGTGGATTAAAGGCTCACATTCCAACAGCTAAAGCAATTGAGCCTTCAAATGACATGCCTGAAAGATTAGACCTGAATCTAAAATCACACATTTTCTTTACAATTCATACTATATCCATGATACTGAAATTGGCTGGAATAAACTTCAAAATTTGTAGCACTAAGAGCAGGCATTCATAATCTGCAAAGGACACACTCTCCCTGTTCTGTGGGTGTGGTGACACTTTGCAACAAGGTCTTTATCTATCATAATCATACGTATTTATTACTACGTGCTTCTTACCTATTACACAGAACTAATTCCTAGAATCAATTCGCATGCATCTTCCTCCTATTGGAAGTTCTTTTATGGCCCTGGAGAGTCATAAAAAGGGGTCTCTGGTGGTCGTATTCACTGAATGCTTCAATATTAAAGGCGACCTTACTTTGATTTTTTTTCTTTGGGCATGCACTGTTGCTTCTGTGCTACATAACTTGCCAAAAAAACACTGTAGTCCTTCTTATCTGTTTCTCCACTGGTTTCAGCCTGTTTATAATCCTGTTCTGTGTACCTTTAAATCTTTATCTTTTATATATATATATAATATATATGTATGTATATGTATATATACACCTTTATTTTTATATATATCTTTATATGTTTACATATACCTATATAAACGTTTATCTTTTACATATATATATATCTTTATATGTTTACACATACCTATATAAACCTTTATCTTTTACATATATATATATATCTTTATCTTTTACATATATATATATATATATCTTTATGTTTACATATACCTGTATAAACCTTTATCTTTTACATATATAGGTATATACACACCCCTTTATCTTTTTTTGCCAGTTAGCCTTTAAGCTCTACACAACAACCTCAGGGGAGCTGAAAATTTTTATTCTCTATGTAATTTATCATCCAGAAACAGAATAAAGGGAAAAGTCAAGCAGGTAGCAAGGTTAGGCTTGCCACTTACTGGCTATCTTCCATGGTGCCCTGCAAAGTAGGTCAGGAGCCACCCTCAGCATCAGTCATCAAAAACAAGCTTCGTTTGGAGCAGGTCTCTGCATCACTGCCTGTTTTATCATTTTACACAACAAGCTTGAGGTGCTTGCCAGAAAATGATGCCCTATTCTGAGAGGACGATGTTGATTCACAAGAATAGAGAAGTCTGTGTGTGAGCACCAGAACAAACCAGCAGAGCAAAGGTTAGTGGAAAATGCACCGCGTCCATCTCTATGGTCATTGCTGATCTAGCTATGTGTGCTATTTCCAGCCACTCTGGAAAGCCTCTGTCCTGCTATGGCTACAGCCCACCTGACTCACTCCTCACTGGAAAACTCCCACTGTAGCAACAGGAGAATGGCAGCAAGCCTGTGGCACATCAGGGATGTCACTACTCTGTGCCACTACTAGCATGTCAGGAAAATAGGCTACAGGGAAGAATCACCACACAGCAACTGCTGGCTCCTAAGAGATGTAAAAGGTGTGCTCCAAATCTAATCTGTCATTGCCAACTGAGAACTAAAGAACTACTGGGGCCACAGAAAAGGCAGTACCCCTTGTCCTCTAGCACATACATAAGGGGTCCTGCCCAGACTACTTGGGACACTCAGGGTTTCCCTCTAGTGAGGTATCAGACTGTGACTGAAGAAATCCAGGAGACAGTGTGAGTGGACAAAAATCAACCTTAAGAGTCCATAAGGCTCATCAGTTCCCCTTCCCACAGAGGCTGCCTTTGGGTTCTCTTACACTGATCTCCCACAATCCTCCCTCTAACTCCAGGAGGGCGTCTTGCCTCTTGTATTAGAGTCATGGCCTTTGCTCTTCTCACTGCTTCTTGGTGAGACCAAAGTCTTGCCCTTTCCCCTGCTCTAAGAACAGAGTTCAGTCATGAGATCTGGAGACTGTTTATCTGTATTTTTTTTCTCTGCTAGGATCTTAGCTGGTTCTGAGAATTGTGCTCTCTGTGGGCTGCAGTTTGAATTCCTTGCATAACAGATCCCCAGAGCTGTGTCAATGATGCCTGTCACACAAAATCTTCAAGACTTTGTTTTAACCTGCCACTGCCCTAATTAACCAAAACACAACCATAAAAGGAGTTTATCAGAAAGAGAGCGTGGAAATTACTTAATCAGTAAGCAGCTCCTGTAGGTTGCACTCTTTGACCCGAGACTGATTTCATCGAAGGCCTGAGGCCCACGGAAAGGGCAGGGGGGTGCCGTGGGACCCCTGCGCTGAGAACAAGACCCAGAGATGCTCAGACATGGGGCTGCTTCCCCAGTAGAAGAGATGGCCGTAGCGACCCTTCCACTTTTCCAGAGCGCAACAGCAGCTTCCCTCCTCCGGAACCCACGCGAGTGCGTGAGCCCGAGCTGCAGCCGCAGCGAGCCCGGCTCAGCTCCCCGCCCGCCGGAGCCGGAGCCCGTCAGCTGCCCGGGACCCCACCGCCACCCCCGGGAGCCGGGCACGGGCAGGACCGAGCCGCGCTGCCTCAGCGGCGCCGTCCCCCCGCAGCCCTCAGCCCTGCCCGCAGCCCTGTGTGTACCTTGCAGTCCCTCAGCGCAGCCATGCTCCCCGCTCAGCCCTGTGTGTACCTTGCAGTCCCTCAGCGCGGCCATGC